GGAAGAAAAAGCTTGTTTCTCTAACTTTGCTGTTCTTATATGCTGTTAAGAAAAGCACTACTTCTGTTTTTCTTTGATAGGATTTTAAGCATTTAAGTTTTTGCAGCATCAGAAATGGCTTCACAGTGGCTGAAATGGCTRTGCACAAGCAGTAGATTGAGAATCTAGGATTTAAAATATAACTGGAAAAAATATAAATATCAACTACGTAAATGTCAAATTGAAAGTGAATCTCTTGGGTTTAATCTTTATGTAGGTTTTAGAAATATTTATTCATATTTGAAATCTTTTTTATGACTTGATATTGTGGGGGTGGAGAACACYGAGGACTAATTCACTCTGGAAAAAAATGCAAAACATGTAAGCTGTCAGTCAGTCTTTATTTCTCACATATATGGATGAGTTGGTGAATCCGGTAATTTTAGTTTCTTCCTTAATATAAGCTCTAAATATCTGGTTCAGATAATACCACCGCTTTTTTTCTTCTGCTGCATCAGAGGAGATTGTCAGGTCACATTCACCTAAAAGCAAGGATATCTTCAACTCCCGTATTCTGATCATGAAAGAAGAATTAGTGAAACATGCTGAGGTTTGCATGAAATGTCTTTAAAGAAAAGTTACTATTTATATTTCTTTTAGTTATCTTATTAACTGCGTTTACCTTTAAGCAATCTCATATACTCATTGTATTATAGAAATATATATAAATCAAATATATTTTTAAAAGGTCTGGTAATAGCATAGGAAGTATCTTTAAATGGGCTGGTAATGAAAAATAGAGTTGATAGCATGCAGTGTCCCTTTGATAAGACTTTATAAACTACTTGTGATCTTAAGTGATTTGCATTTTGCTGGCAATGTAGTCCAACTGGAATCATGAAACAGCAATACCGTGGTAGTTTAACGAGAGAGATCTGCATTTATCTCTGCTGGAACTGCTGAGAGTGGAATGAAAAAGTCTGCAATTTGTGTGACTCTGGTTATCTGAAACCTCAAAACTAAACATCTTTCCTGAAATCTGATAAACATTACTAATTATTTTAAGTATGTGCAACATTGATTAGCCTGTTGAAGTTGCCTTGTATCTTTATACTGAAAGTACCTATATTTAACTGCACAAGTATACAAGACCTAGAGGTTCAAAACTCAGGGTTAATACGATGTTTCCTTACCTCTGTAATTTCAGTAACGTACAAGTCCTTCAGACTGAGCTGTTTCCTGTACATATGCTTCCCAGATGTCTGTGATGTTCAGAAACACTTCAGTTTGACTTGGAATAACTTCCGTTGTCTAACTTGAGTATTATTTTGTTTCTCCTTGCAAACCAGAATTGTTCTTATTTTGCTTTTACGAATTCCAAGCATTTACTGAGTGAGAAATAAGGAGAATATTTTTAAATTAATGGAAGCAAACTCAAATACCATTAACAGCTAAGCGCTTTATTTACTGTCTTGTATGCACTTAAAAGCAGGAATTCAGCATGATCCTTTTATCTGTCATTATAGAGGTTTAATGGAAGAAGCTAAACTTCGAGCTTCCGTGAYGATGGTGGTAGAAGTTAAATTTTACTTGTGCTGCTGTGACCTCTTAGGCATCAGTGAAAAGCCAGAACTCTTTGTTGTAAAACCCAGCAGTGAGTTTGTCTCTTCAAGTATATTCTCAGTCCAATGGGGAGGGGGAAGGAGGAAGAGGAAGTTGCTTTTCTTGCTAGACTATCTAACATGTAATGGCATTATATGGCAAAGGGGGTGGGAGGGGGCACTATAGGTCACAGAAGGCAAGTGTTGCAACTGTGTGTGTGTGTATATATATATATGTATGTATGTATCTCACATCCGGGGAGTCATTTGATACTGTTGGTGAACCTAAGTTGTTGATGGAGAGCTGTGGACATAATTTTTGTTCTTGAGTGTTTTGAAAGTTCATGGAATGGTAGCCTTTCCTTGGCTTCATATGTCTACTAACTGYAGTTCTTGTTCTGTGCTGTTCCTACAGTGTGCTTGCTGGTCAAAGTCAGAATTTATTGTGGACACCACATTCATGGAAATGAGGAACTTAAGATTCTCTGTTTCACTTTTTTTTTTTTCTTCTTCTTTAAGAGTTAAGTACTCTTCACCTGTGTTATTGTCTGTCCATCTGGAATATATTTCAGTCAGTGCAGATCCTTTATATCAGGCATAAATTATCCGGCAGAAATGAAATTTCGTTTGTGTCATCTTTGATATTCTTATTCCACATCCTGTGTAGTACTCTTGCTGYGTTCCTTTGTATAGGATTTGGCTAGTTACCATGAATATATGCAATAAGAAATATTAGAAAAATTGAATAATTTCTCCATATGCTAACAAAATACTTCAGATTTCTTATTTGTATTCCCCTAGAGAACATGTACCGATATGGGTCTCATGTATTACTTAGCTATTTATTATATGCACTCTAGAGCCTTCTCTTGGCCCTTTTTTCTCCTTCTTGCTGAACAAATTCTTGTAAATGTATATTCATTAGTCTAATTGGATTTGCTGATGGCTAATTCATCTTTGCAGTATTCTAGAGTAGTGTGGGCCATCTCTCTAAAGGATTAATACAACACCCAGCTTTTCTTCATTTTTTTCCCCTCTTTTTGAGTCAGACTGGCCAAATGTAATATGGAGTTTGGTTTGCAGGCTTCCTGTGTGACAAGATCTCCRGGCTTCTGATACAGTTTTGGAGCTGCTGATCAAGAAGAACACTGTGTACGTGTATTTTGACATGGAGCCATGACAGGGATCCTACAAGGTATTTTTATATAGCTACTCTTCAGAGTATAACTACAGCCATATCCTAAAAGTTCAAGGAAAGTTCTAGCTCTTTATTCTATGGCAATAGGAGGGATAGCTCATGCTCTTTCAAAAGTTAGTCTGTTGCAACATGTTGCAAGCAAARTCTAATTAACTTTCTTGTTATTCTGCCAGATGAAGAGACTTTTCTGCCATRCAAGTTCAGCCAGTTCTCTATTACAGTGCAAACAGCTACTTTCTTTCAGTCCATTGATTCAATGTTAGCTATACTGTAGCTTTGCATTAAAAACAGAAAAAGCTCCAGAGGATGTAAACAGTTGTATGGTATGATTTTTACCTTGCTGCTTTTCCAAACTTTAATATTCACTTTTTAAATTATTTTTTGAGTGGTAATGCAGTACTTTCCTTAGGAAAAGAATAGCCAGTTATACTCCAAAGAGAGCCATTAAATAAACATGTGTAATGTCATAAACTTCAGCAGACTTCCTAAGAAATACAGTCTGGAAGATGTCCCAAGCCTGTTATCGTTTCTGTCCAAATCTTTTGACACTGCCTCCTCAACTCTTCTTTCTTTTTTTCTTCCTTCCCTCCCTTCCTCCCTCCTCCCCTCTCTTTTCTTCCTCTCCCTTCCCCCCTTTCCATTTCAGTGCATATTTTTTCATACTAATCCGGCCAAAATTAAGCCTTTCCGGCRGAAGGGTTTTATGCACTTTTTTCTTTTAGAACACTCGGGTTGACTGGTGTAAAAAATCAGCCCAGACCAGATGGACTTGGCATTGTCCCTTTCAGGCAACCTGCAAATTCCTAATTTAAGGAAACCCTTCCTATTGCAGACCTGTTCCAGTCTCAGGTTTCTTCCGTTGCAACTGCCTGGACTGTGTCCACAGCCCTAGCAATGGTCATGAATATTATGGCACCACACAGGCAATGCATTTAAGGTTTGACGTTTTGATATTTTGAAATCTCCTTCTCTCTCTGTCATTTCTTCTACTCATTATAATCATTTAAGAAAGTTCATTTTATCATCCGTGATTCTGTGATCAGAGCTCTTAAAAAAAAAAAAAAACTCAATTTACTATTTAAAGCTATTTTCAGTTTCTCATTGCTTTTATTGATACCCTTTGGCTTGCAAGTACTGGTGAGAGTGATTCTTCTTGGTCAGTTCATGTTGATTAACGCAGGGACTTTTTGCAGCAGCATTACCACCGAGGTGACACAGGGAGGTTGAGAGTTCCTGCCTTTTCAACTTTTTCTTAATTCCTCAGCTATAGTCTATATAGAAGTAGGAAATACATGCTTGTTAGAGAGAAACTTCGCTTTCCATACTCAGTTTTTCCAGGTCGAAGGAACTACTCTCTTGCTCTGACCCTGGTACTATGTGAAGTCACGTAGTTTTGGCCAGAATAGGAAGGCTGTTCRGCCAAAATATAAATTGTCTTGGGCCAACTTGTAGCGACTTTTAAGTACAGCAGCTGAAATTCAACAACCTGTATTCTTTCACCAACCAGTGATTAGAGTTCAATGCATGCTGTAGTGAAACCTTCTGAGTGAGTTCCTTAAGGAGTATTTAGACCAGGCCAAGGAAACTGGCACTACCAAAGAATACATGAAACTGCTTCCAGTAAAATTAACAGCAATATGTTTGAGTAGTGACTATAKTAAGTGACTATTTAAGTCACTACTGAGGTGTTATGGCTTGCACCTTAGGGTATCTCATTTTTCTTCTCATTTCTCAATTCAGATGATCTCATGCCAGAACAGGGATATGCAGATGGGGAACCAAACCCCCTGTAATTTGAAGTTTTAGTTGTTCCCTCAGTAACAGGCATCATAGTCTYTTCCTGGAGAGACTTAACTGCAGCTTATTCCAGATTGGGGACATTATTGCTGTGACAGTCATGGCAGGTGCCCCGTACTTGCTTGCATGAGCTTCTTGTGTAGTGTGTACTTGTCCATCTAAACGGAGCAGGGCTCCTTGGTAGTTCTTGCACTTCCCTGGGTCAGGGGATAAAAAGGGAGCTCCAGAAACAAATGTGCCGTGTGTTTCCTGGCTGCTTGGAGCACRTGCTGTCTTTGCATTGACCATGGCTGTTTCCTACTGTTGTGGGTTTTTTTGTTTTGTTTTGTTTTTGTTTTTTTTAATAGATGTTTACATTGATATAAAAGCACAATGGACCTGGCCTCTGGAAGCACATGTGACATTTGCACACACGCATTTTAAATACTAAATCAGCTTATTCGTTAATAAAATACTTCAGTAAGCTCACAGGGAAAAGAGCAGCACACACCCAGTGAGGAGGCCATGCAGGGGGCTGTGGGGTGCATGCAGTGTTCTGGAGTCTGGCATTTATCCAGCAGCCCCGTAGATGTTAGCGCTTCCTCAGGAACCTGTGACTCAGTGAGYGTGTAGCCCGGGTGACTTCCCCTGGTGCAGCTGTCGCTGGCTCGAGCAGGGGCTGCAGGTTTCCTTTGGGAGCCTGCAGCAAAATCCATGTGTGTGTGTGTGAGGGACACAGCATGAGGGCTTGCACTGATCTGAGGCTGACTGACTGTTTTGGCACTGAATATGTTTTATCCTTGTCAGTCGTTGAAATCACCACTTTTGAAGTTTGCTCCAAACAGGAGATCCACGTTTCTCTTCAAAATGTTTATGAATGAAATCTTGGCATTTAGCTGTTAATAGAGTTGCAATGAAGCCTTCCTAGTCCACTGTTGAGGGAAAGGGAAGGGGGAAAGGCAAAGCCTGAGTGAGCTAAGTTTCCATTATTATTTTGGAAGTATTGCACCCACCGAGAATGTGTTTCCATCCTGCTGGGCGAATGGCTCTGGCCCAGCCCCACACCGCTCTCCAGGTTGCTGTGGGTGTCACGAGCTGCCCGGCGGACACGGCAGGTCCCTGCCTGTGAGTGGCCGCCTGCAGCCAGGTGAGCGCAGCGCGGATGCTGCGGGAGCGGGGCCAGGGCTCGGGCCCAGGCGGGCCGGCGCCTGCGTGCGGCACGGGGAGGGCTGCGGCAGCTGTGCTTCTGTCTTGGGCAGCACTCCCAGTGACGTCGCCGCATGACTTGGCTGCTGATTTGCAAGGAGCAATGTCAGGAATTCTCGTCATCCGACTAATGCAAAAAGTCGGATGTCTGTCTAGGTCTTTCTTCACAGTGCTATGGGAGAGACTCTGAAAGTGCTGTATTTATTTATTACTGTCATACACAAAGAGCTGCTGTCCTTTTGTTTGAGCAGTAGCAGCTGCGAGGCGTGGGCCTGGAGGGGGGACAGGCTGCTGGGCTGCCCTTCAAGGGAGAACTTGGAGCAGGGACACATGTTCAGGGACATCGGATTTGTGACTGCTACCACTATGGTCCCTCTTGCATTTGGGTTAGTCAGTGTCAAACTTTGGCACCATCACAAACCACACAGTTAAAGGAATGATTTAGGTAAGACACTGAGTCAAAACTCCTAAAAAAGGTTCTGAATCTCTTGCTGGGTTTTAGTTTTGTTTTTAGTAGTGTCATCCTGCCTGTCTAAAGTTGCTGTTGCTTTCCTTTTGGATCCTTCATTTTCTGAAAGACCAATATATGGGGGGTCCTGTAGGCTCTACATAAGAACATCTGTCTGAGATGACACCTATGTCAGATGTAGTAATAGTACAATATGTTGGTCACACAGATGTGGAAAGGCTTTTTTTTTCCCCAGACTTTGTTGTAATTGTATTCTTGGATGTTTCTTGTGTACCGAGCTAGGCAGTATTTATGGTTTTCTCCAGGGTGGTAGTTAGGGATGAACGAGCTTTGTGGGACAGCAGCGTGGAATGGAGCAGGCTCCTTCATGCTGAGAACCCCACACCGCCAGTGTGACATGAGCTGGTGAAACGGCCGGGAAAGCTACTTCACCCTTCCTGCTAACTGTGCTTTATTGAAAAGGAATTCAGTTGTCTTTAGCAGTCAAACATTTCAAGCTCAAAATAGGCTTCTCTGTAACTGCTTGCTCATATTTGTAGGGGAGAAGCAGGCAGCAAGTCAACTGATGTGTGTACAGAGTTTCTCTGTTGCTGGGGTTACTCTGGCTGCATTGCCAGCAGGGATGATCTCTGTTACTTAATTTAGCTTCCTGAAGTTAGTGTTTGGAAACGTCATTAAGAGATCCTGACAGATAATGTCAAGAGTTGTGACGCTTAAAAATCAACAGAGAATGAGGATCTACCTGTTGATCTGAGATGCTCCACAGGAATGTGGTGCAAATGTCAGGGGCAGGAGGAGGCAGTCTGCCCTACCACGAGCAGTGTATGTTGTTTCAGGATATGATTAAGTTACAGTTCTTAAATTATTTTGTTGTTAGATATGTATGTGATACCAGCTGCAGAGATTTTATAAGACATCRTGTCATGTTCTGGCTTTCACAGTTTTGAGATTTTTTTGTGATTAATGATTAAGTACTGTAATTTTTAAAAGCATGTCTCATCTCTAACACTGCCTATTAATGCCCTTTAATGTAATCCGCTTGATCATGATGTTCAGAAGTGGTTAGTGAAACTGTCTTGCCTCCATTTTTGGATGCCAACTTTGGATGCTCCAAGCTAGACTTGTTTGACATCTTAAACTGGGTTTCAGGATTCTAACAGGACTGTGATTTAAAATTATAAAGACAATCTGATATTAAGCATGTATTTTCAAAAATGTATGTGTGTAAAAGAGGATGAAATAAATAATATACTGTTATCTTTTAATTGGTTGCAGTTTCAGTTTTTTTCTTTATTGCATGTGTTTCCTGGACAATAGGCTTACCAGTGTGAACATTAAACTTTGTGTAGCGAATCAGCTAAGTAATATCACAGCAGAGTTGTTATTTTGTGTAAGAGAGGAGGAATGAGTTAGGTGCACTTTTTTAGAAAGATGTATCGTCATGAGGGTCTTGTATTTGTTGCTACCAACTTGATTGCTACAAGTTTAGCTGTTTGTGTCACACTAAGTGCATGCTAGCCCCAAAGTGATTCACGTCCATGTTCAGACTGGATTGTTAGCTCATTTGGAAAGGTGAGTGATAAAACTTGGTGATCCAGTCTGTGTGTTGTTGGAAATAACATCAGTTTTGTTCCCCAAAGCCTGCAGTCCTGTTCAGAGTTTGTGTTCCCTTGAATGGCAGTGTGGACCATCTGCAAAAGGAAGGCACATGCCGACTTCTCTGACAGAACAGAAGAATGAAGGTGCCAGAATAGCTCTCATAAATGGAGTATGTGTGTATGTATAATCACTCATAAGCAAAAAGGCTTCACTTGTAAGGGAGAAGCTAGTAGAAATAAATCCCTTTAAATTGTTCCTTGCTGCCTCAAATCTCTGTTGTGATACGTGTCCAGTTCATTCGTTTGTCCTACTGTGTTAATATTTCCTTTTCCTCCCCAGCAACCCTGCTAGTGGCAGATACGAAGGAGCAGAAGGAAGACAGAAATGTGACAAGAAAAGGCACCGGAGAAGCCAGGAGAGGCAACTGTAGGGACCTTCTCTTCCTTTGAGGCTTTGGAAGCAAAAGATGAAGGAGGCACCGGGTTGGGAGCTTTCCCATCACAGGTATTATCACTACATTTGGGCCTTCAGAGAGTTCCAGTTTTCTATTCCTTTGGCTATTGACCTGTTGTAGCACATGCTCTTTTCTGAGAAGAGAGAATCTTTGCTTATCATCATTGTGGCTAATTATGTAGCTTAGAGTTTTCTGAAATGTGAAGATGATGTTGCTGATCTCCCAAGATTAGAGTGTTTTTTTGTTTGTTTTTGTTTTGTTTTGAGATCTCAATTCCTAAGAATCTGTACTTTGCTCTGGGAGTAGATTGTGGAAGGATGGGATAGAGAAGAGATAAGAATCTGTCATGAGGCAACTGCTAAAGAAAATTTCATATATGTAAGAAAATATTTCTTCTTCCTTTCTTTAACTTCTCCTTCTTTAAAGATTTATTATGGGTGGATCTACTTTTGACTTTAAAAGTCAGCCTTTGCTCAGGCGTTTTTCGCATTTCCTGTGAGAACTGGTAAGACTGAAGCTGCCTCCAGAGTTCAGCTACGACAGGGCAAAGCCGGAGGAGAATCCCACACTCCTCTTTCCTCTATTTCCAAACAAAAAAATGTTTATTTGTTGGATTAATCATTAAAGTTACAGACATGTCAGCGAAAGCACCGTTTGATTTATTGCTGCTGATTTTGCATCATCCTGAAAGGTCACAGCCTGACTCAAATTACAGAGTGCATTTATAAGCCTGGCAAGAACAAAAGCATCTCTTTTTATGAGTGAGGCTCATCTTGCCATGAAAGCCTTTAAAACAAGAGCCCTGGAGTGCTCTGTGTGATGGTGCCTTTGCAGGGGCTGGAGTTTTGCCCCTCAGCTCCCCCAAAACCCTTCATACGGTCCCGGCTGTGAAGGGACGAGGGATGTTGAGTCATGAAATTGCAGCATAGGCTCTTTTGGAGACACCTGTGGTGCCCCTGCACCTTTCAAAGCTAAAATGCCCTTTGAATTTGTTGAGACTTCAGTAGCATGTTCCAAGCTAACATTCAGGCAGCCGCATCTTTACTATGCCAGAAAAGATGTTTGTATATTCTTTCTTTTGCCCAGACTAGATATTTCTAATTTCTAGATATGTGATGAAGGATTTCTCAAAGCATAAAGGAAATGATCCTTTGTGTACTCATGTTTGGATTTGTCTGAGGAAAAAATAAGAATATTGTTTACTTTGCAAGCAGAATTGCTGATTCACTGGCTATTTTGCTTCACTGGCCCTGCAGGAAAGGAAACAGCTTCTTGATTTCCAGATTCCCAGGGGAGATGTGAGAGCCACTAGAAAGCAGAGACTTGCACATGAGCAAGTGGGGCTATCACTGAGGTACGGAGGGTCCGCAAGGCATCTAGTGACTTTTTAAAATCATTTTTAGTACCTCTGAATAGTCAGCAGAAACATTCTTCAATTAGATACTTGTAGCGGTCTGTTTTGGTAAATCTGTCTTAGTTCCAGCATGTTCAGTGTAAGGAAGGTGAACTTGGTGGCAGGAGCTTTTCACCTGTTGTGGGTTTTGGGTTTGTTTTTGGGGGGGGGGTGGGAGGGATTCTTTTTTGGTTTTGTTTTTTTGCTTAAGCCATTTGAATCCTACCCTAATCTGCATTTACTTGTGAAGGCAGCCCATGGGGACAGGGTGAAGGTTGCACCCTGTGCAATGGTCGTCGCTGAGCAGGGTGGCAGGAAGGAGTCGGAGCACAGGAGCCCCTGTTCCCACCCGTTCCTCTCCCACGGGCGTCRAGTGGAGGCAGCTGCTTTGCAGGGCAGAGCCTGGAGCTGCTCTGCGCGCCCGGGCCTGGCACCACTTGCCGCTGTTCCGCATGCACCGGGAGGTAAGACCCGAATTTAGAGTTTTCTTAACTATGTGCGATTCTGTTACTGAGGCTTTGCTGCAGAATAGAGGTTGGTGTTTACATGAGTTAAAGCAGAACAACTCTCTCTTGCAGCAAGAACAATGTCTGGTGCTATTGACACCCTGAGGAAATGTTTGGTGGATATAAATAATGTTGGGTTAAACAAAAGATTGTCAAAAAAAAAAGCAAGACAAAAGGGCGGTGCTGGTCTAACCCCCAGAATGATTCTGTACTGTCTTTGGTGCTATTTGAGTATATGCATTTGCTTCTGAAGAAGTCAATAGTCTGAGACTCAGTAGCCTTAGCAGGAGCCCAAGAACTTGCCATTTGGAAGGAAAAGGAAAAGGAAGGGACTGTGCTTTAATCTCTGAGTATTGTTAGTTCCTTCCTTTAAAAAAAAAAAAAAAATCCCAATGTGCCATGTACTATAGTGAATCAGTAAAGAACAAAGGCTGATTTTTTTTTAGCTGGTTGAAGCTTTATTTTGTTTTTCTGGAAACAAAAAGCCCTGTATGTTTTTTTAAACTTGGTTGTAAAGTTGCTACATGCAAGGTAACTGTAGTGATATATCATTTCTATATGTTAGGTTTAGTACATGATTCATTTGCCATCTATACAGATAAAAAATGAGGTTATTTTAATACTTGCAGAAGTTGGTGTTTTCCTGTGTTCAGAAAGTAATGTTGACGGCAGCCTGAAGAGCAGACTCTGCCAGGAGTGTTCTGCTAGCAAAGTGTTTGCTCAGTTTGGGCAAAGCCTCTGAAGATAAGCAGCTTTGGAACTTGGTGGCTGGCTGATGCTGCTCTGTGCTGACAGGTGCCATTGCATCTGTCTTTGTGATAGAAAGAAGGCAGATGGTCTCCTTGGTGTTGTGAAATGCTTGCTGCTTTACAAATAGGATGCAAAATCAGAAGGAATACTGCTAGCAGTTTGCCTATGAGCAAAAAAGACTGAAACAGTCTCCTGTCGATGTAGTGTAATAATACACTACGTTATATAAAAAATAAAATAATCTGCACCATGTTATATAACAAAAAGAGTTTAAAATTCTTCACTTGTGTATTTCCTCAGGTGGCGCGTCGGTGCTGGAGGCTGCCTGCACACACAGCATGGTGCAGCACGTAGCAGGGCTCGCGCAGGGTGACGGCTGTGCCTGTCCCCCCACCAGCACAAGTGGAAGCCTCCGCGTGTGGGAAGATGCAGCCTTGTCTCTTACTGCACAGGCTCTCGAGAGGGACGGCAGTAAGGTGGCACTGAGCACCCCCGTCGAGCCCAGCTCTGGTGAGTAGCACGCTCATGCAGATAATGTGTGTAACACTTGCCACGAGCTTTTGCCAGGATCATGTTGGGCAGCGTGATGTATTGACATGGCATTTGATACAAGAGATGTCATCATTCATGCAGACATGGTGGCTTGTTCCTGTTACCATCTCAGCAGTTATCATGCAGAATGGAGCAAGTACTCCTTGCTGTTGCACAAAAGCTTCAGAACAAGCCAGGAACACAATTCTACATCTTTTTGCTGGCGACCGATTTGGCCTCCTAGGAACATCCTAGGATGCCRCCCTGTGCCACATGTTGTAGGTGTGCCTGCTTGAGCAGGAAGGTTGGACTAGATGATCTGTAGAGGTCCCTTCCAACCTTAAATATTCTGTGAATATTCTGTGAATATCTGGAGCTGTTCCCATGTGCCGTGCTCCCTTCCGCCTCTCTGAACCTCCTGCCCAGCTGCAAGGCCTGTTCAGCTGCCCCTGGTGGTTGCAGCCCCTGCATGTGATGCGCAGCCTCTTGAAGTTGTGAGGTCTGTGGCCCTGCCAGGTGTGTGGCTCTTTATGAGCAGCTGAGCAGTCACATTTGATSAGACCGTGACTGTCTAGCAGTCAAGCCTCTGAATCTCTAAGTTCATTTTACCCCTAAAGCAGCTTAAACTATGTAAAAGCTGTGTTTAGGGGAGAGTACTCGCTGAAACACATGGGAGGGTCTTGAATTCAGTCTCCAGTATATTTACACCTTTAAATCTATCTAAAATTAAAATGTTTGGTATGAATTTAAATGTACAGAAAGAATGCAGGGACAAGTGCAGAAGCATAGCTTGAAGCTGCATTAAATTTCACACGCAGGTGTGTGAAAAAGTAGAAGTTATTGCACACAGCATAGGCATTGGCCATAGCATGAAATATGTGTGTGTAGGGTCCAGCTTAATGCAATGTAGTAATGGCTGCTAGGCAGAAAACTCCTAGAGTATAAGGGATTACTGTTGATTTTATTTTTTTCCTTTTCTCAGGCACAGGACAAAATACACAATAAACTACTGACTTGCAAGATAGCAATGCTGCTTGTCTTGCTTCATCCTGCCCCAAAAATGTTGTTGTAGGGATGACTTTCTTCCTAAAAGGAAACCAGCTCCCTTCAGAGAGCAGACTGAGAGGCGTGTGAGGCTTGTTGTCGTTGGCCTCCCTCCCAAAGGGTCTTAAAGCATCGATTTAGGTTTTTTTGCATGTGTAGTGAGAGGGATGTTTTTCAGATGTGTTATACTAGTCATGCCTGTTGTCTTCTCATGCAAGGCATCTCCCACTCCCCAAAAGCAGTCATTCTACTTAACAGCGCACATGCTTTCCATGCCTACTTTGGTTTTTTCAAACAATTTAGTCACTTCATATACAATACAGTAGTAACTTTATATCTTTTCATTTTTAGGGTTTCCATTTTTAATTTTGGAAACACCTCTGCTATCTTCAAAGCTGAATTATCTCAGAAGTTCTCATCTGATTCACCTGGACTTTCTCCAAAGCGAGTAAATAGCAAGCTTAGTCCTAAGGCTTAGCTGGCTTCGGGCACATGAATCATCATCTGTTGAAATGCTGCTCACTCAAAGCACAAGAGCATGGCTAGCTGCATTTAAAATGTAACTGTTGTCTTTAGAGAGTAATTTCTGATTTTAAGATAAAATTTCAAAAAGTTGAGGGACAAGACAATGCGGAAGATGCTGCTTTCCTCACCAGCACTGCAGCTGTGCTTGACTTTTCCAAAACAGTAACTGTCCGGGAACTGCTACCATGGTGCTACAGCAGGAGCAGGAACAGCTGCTCCAGCCTCTTATGGAAAGAAGCCCTGGGCAAATGCTCAGGAAGACTGGATCAGTGGGAATTGGGCCCATGGTTCCAGTGTTAGAGGTGTGCTCCTGAAGCTGTTGGTGTTCCTGTCCATGTGCTGTCCAGCAGCAGCAGGGTCACGATGCAGTTATAGAGACTGTTTTTTGATGCCCTCCCCACCTGTAGACCATCAGAACAGCCTGCACTGTCCAGGCCTTCACCAGGACAGTGCCGTCCTACATGAGACGCTTTCTGGGCAGGGAGAGCAGCACATGCAGCTTGTCTGCTCCCAGCTCCCCAGCGACAGAAGTCAGTTTCCTTTCTTGCCAGAACCCTCAGGACACTATGCACACGCATGTGATTTAAGAGCACTTTATTGTTCTTTAAGGCTACTTTTAAGTACAAAAAAAAAAAAAAAAAAAAAAAAGGCCTGCCAACCCTTTTTTTTTTTTCCAGGTGGAACAAGGCCACAAAAGAATGGTATATTACAGATTTACAAACAAAGACTCTCTCTTTCCAACCAAACTGTAGAGAAGCTGGCTCTGTGAAGAAACATCACCATGCAACATAATGGTGAGTTCAGTTTAGTTTCCTTCTGCCTCCCCCCAACCCTTTGGCTTTTGTGACATATTTGTGTCTAATATGTTTTACTGGACATACCACATTAAATCTTTATTGCCCTCAACTCCATTTACCTATCTCAGATAAGTAAATGTAACCTTGTAAACCAGCTATTATTGAAAATATTAGCTTTAAAACATTCTTATTTGTGTTTACAAAGAAATATAGGAGTCACATTTTCCACAGAGTCCATCTACAGTATTAGTATTTTACTGTTACAATGCTCAGTAGCCTGTAGCAATAACAAACTAGTGGCTATTAATGCTAATGCAGTGTTCTCATAGAATAACTGTGTTCCTGCACTTTTACTGTATTACAGACAAATCTACAACAAAAAAAAAGATCAACTTTTTTCTCCAAACAAAACAATGAATGATTACAATAAAGGAAAGGGAAAAATTAAATAGCTACATATCATTAACAAATTAATTGTTCCTCAAAAAATACCTACAAATTTCTCTGTACATTCTTTACGCACAGCGTAACGATGGTCTTAAAGTTACCTATATAAAAAAGTGTTCTTTTAACAATCTTCCTACAGAGAGTAGGGTACTGAATGCCAAAGCAGGTAAGCGTTGACTACCCAGTAAGATGGTAGTGAAATGTGTAAAACTGAGGGGGCTTAGATGTGCTTTTTTTGTTTTTCTTTTTTTAAAATTTTTTTAAGAAAATTGAGCAGCCACCTTCTTAACAAGAGTAAGAGCCAATCTCCTGATCTTTTTCTACCCTGCACCTTTTCCAAATTCATTAGCTTAACTTTAAAGAAACTTAAAATAAAAGCCACAGTGGACCCAATACTGTAGTACAGGCCGTTATACATCACGTATAGTTCATCTTCCAGCTTGTCGTAACTTTCTACACTAAACCGATCCTTTCAGGTAACCCAGTATTTAAAAAAACAAACAGCTAGTTGCAACTGTGCTGGGAAGATGGAATGTCTGGAGGAGAGTAGTTACATTTAACAAGAAGAGAAGCTCTTAGTACTAGCACAGCTGTGGTTTTATGCCTGCCTCTATTGCCTAATTTCTAGTTAGTAGCTATTAATATAGCAAATGATAATAAATGCAGTAATACCTGTATAAAGTTTTCTAATGGAGGAATGTATGCTGCAACTTGGCATAGGTTTATGAAGAAGCCTAACAAATTAAAGATCATATTTCACAAACTGTAACAATCTGTTGTCCAGCCAAGATACATAATGGTAGCAGTTTCTGCAGCTAGTTAAGGGTGGATTACACAAACTTAGGTTTAGGAAGCAAATTCCTGTTAAGCAGACAGTACTGCAGACAGAAACAATTACTCAGTCTTGCGCAAAGCTATAGCATCCTGTACCACGCATCATATATTTCTAAACTGCATTTGGAGGCCTGTCCTGAGGCTGTCCTCTTTTGCTGGCTGCTACTAAAGTGAATATCAAATACAAATATCATAGAGTACAACTGTACCAGCAGTAAGTATATCTAGGATTGTTACTGACAAAAATAAACTAATTCTGAAGAAAAGCTAATAAGTATTATGATTCTTACTGTCTATACATTAATAGATACCAGCTATTTTTCATAAAACATGCATTGTTAAGCACTATTGAACCCTCCAACCTCAGCTCTATTCTAACAAACTGCAGTGTTTAGGAAAAAATGCCCGTGTTCTGTAAGGTATGCAGTCCAGTTGCAAGCACTAAGCACCTGAAATCTAAAGAGAGAAAGACCTGTAACTTGTATGAGACTTCCCCTTCCAAAGCTGTTTTGCTGTAAGAAAAAATCGAACTGATAGAAATGTCATCCTCAAACCCTTTTTTCAGCAGTTTGCCCTCAAGATATTAGCATCTTCCAGAAAGTTGCTATGCAACTTCAGTCCTCCTCCAATAGTGCAAATCATACATGACAGTTCTTTTCAAGTATATACATACAAAATTACTTCACAAAGGGGCGGGGGGGGAAAGCAATGTAAAAGCAAACCAGACAAATTCTAGTCGCAAGAATCTAGTAAAGCAAAAAGCGTTTGGGTCAACCAACTAWGTGTAATGGCTTTTGTGGATTAGCGTGCATTTTTTTAAAGGGGCAGCAGATTTGCATCAGAGGTTTCTTTGGTAATTGAGGCAGGAAAAAAAAAAGGATGCTACATCATACGAATCTTTATGAAATAGTTCCTGCTATCATCTTAAAGGGCACCCTTTTACAAATAAAAAGTGAGTACACCAAAACATGTGTTGAAAACTAACCTCCCCTCCCCACCACTACTTGAAGCACTGTTCAAAGCTCAGTCAAACCATGCAGATTCCCAAAGGAGCCGGTCCTCTCTTCACGACATGACGGAGGGTGAGTGATTATGATTGACCATGTGGGAGGAGGGGGAAGACTGGCCCCGCCGGGAGGCCGACTCGGGACTGCTGGACACGCCGTCCTTCGCAGCTTTGATCTGCAGCCAGGTATCCCCAAGTGCTTTGGCAAAGTGGTCATCGACAGATCCTGTGATGGACACAGAGTTTGCCACTGGCTCAGGCTCCTTGTAATTCTTGCCGAGGCTCCGGCGGAAGTGCTCTTCCACCACGGGGTCGCAGGCAGTGGTGGCTGGTAGGGGAAAGGAGGCAGGAGAAACATCATTTCAGTTATTTCAGGACACTAGAAAAATACATTTATACATGATTACAATTCTTGCTCAGGCTCATAATAAACTTTTTTGCACTGACACATTTTTCATTTCTATGGAGACTTTCTCCCCCAACAATCACAGAAAACTTACATTTAAGCTTAAATGGAATTACAAATCAAAAAAAAAAAAATCAGCTTCCACATCTGCTTGCATGTGGCAGATGGTAGGAAGACTCATCCTAAATTACTGTGTGTCACAAGCTGATTTAAGGGTTTCATGTCACTTGACATGTTCATAATAGGAGAAAGCCAGARAAGTGCATGAATCATTGCCTCTATCTTAGGTAGAGGCACCTAAATAGCACGATACTGTTACAAGAGAAGAAGAAAACTTGGAAAACAGGTTATGAAAGGTAAGAGTAATAAATTATTTAGCTGACTAAATATGAGAGGTTTGGGCTTCTAAAGTTTCAACATGCAGCTTGTGTAAAAGACATCATTTTTCATTGCTGCTTAAAGCTGTCCGGCTCTGCCTTTACACTTCATGCTCATGAAGGGCCCTGATTGATCCTAAAATAAAGCAAATATGCTGCAGACAGACCTTTTCAAATGACAGGAGAAAAATAGTTCCTGAAAATATTTACAACTCTTCCCAAGCCCATGTAAATACAGCTGGGTGATTTAGGTAAGAGCAGTTTTCTAAACAACTTGGATCTCTAGCTACAGCTTTCTGCCCAGGCGYGAGACATCCTCTAGCATCTGGGCATTCCCAAACTCACTTTCACTTCTTATTCCAGTGTTCACATAACAAAGCTCTTAACATGAAAAAAAGCTACTGTAGTCTTTCAGGTTCCCAGCTAGCTCCTAGTCACTTCATCTTGCTGACATGGTCTGGCCAGATGAAGTCTCCCTCCTATTTTACTGAACCCATCACTTTGAGCACATGAGTCTACAAGTCAGTAGCCATAGGACACAAATGAAAAAGGTTCCATTTTCCCCTAATCACAAAGAGAAGAGGAGAGAAGAGAAATAAGCTCAGCTTTCCTTGTAGGTGCTTCATGAGGTGGTTTCATGAAAAGCACTAATTGCATGGCAGGTAAGAGGCCGAGCTCCTGCCGAGAGCAGCTGTCTTGCGCCCTGGGTCCTGCCCCTGCGCAGCAGGCAGGGACGGTGCTTTGGAAGCAGGTTTGCAGCTACCGCAGGGGAGATTTTTCAGACAGCCTATGAATCATAAACATCTGCTGACAACTGAATGGCACACTAGGAAAACTACAGCACCTAAAATAATAGCCTGGCTGTATCTCTGCGGGTCCTGGCTGTTTGCTGGTTGCCAGACTAAAATAAACATAATGACTTATTTGTCTGTTCTCCTTTTTTAAGCCTTTCATGAAATGGCACCTCTCAGAGTGGCCTAAGATTGATGCAGGTGGAGTAGCCAAGGAGGGTAGGGGATAGTCTTGCACCTCCGTTTTTATTCTTGTTCATAGCCTCCCCACCTTTAAAGTTAGCAAGAAAATCTTCATTGGAGAGACTTGCACTTACTGCTTGATGGTCTTCTATAGGCAGGCACCCCGGAGCCGGAGCCGCAGCCGCTGTGGGCAATGGGGCAGTGCGAGAGGTTGCAGTTGCGGTTGTTCGCAGAGGCRCACGTGATGACAGAGGGCCGGTTCTGCCGGGAAGGAAAACAACAACTGCCACTCAGTAAGGCAGCAGGAGAAAGCTGCGAAAACTACCTGTAACCCACTGCCTGAGAGGTACAAACGCTTCACTGCGTCACCAGCACAGTGAAATCACCTGTAAAATGCCCAGTTCAATAGAGCATGTTAAGTTCCAAATAATCAACTAGTTCTTACTCTCTCATTAAATAAAATAATGCTTTTCTGTAACATTTGTAATGTCTGTAAATGACATCTGTAGTCATTTAAGTGGCAAGCAGCCATCCAGAAAAAACACAGTATAAAGGCAAATCACTGAAAGCATTAAGGAGATTTTTACCCTAACTGTTTCCATTCCAGAATCATTATGTCTGCAGAACTTAACATTAACAAAGCAAGGACATGTTTCTTATATGTCCACACGTCTCTCCGAGTCCTGCAATCGAAGTGCTTTACAAATCTCTCAACTATCCGTCTCTTGAGCAGTAAACAAGTTTTAATGGCATCATTCTTCATTTAGAAGTTACTATTCCTAGACTCATGTTCTAWCTTCAGCCAGAAACCAATAAACCCCTAAGATACAAAACATTAAAAACTCCTGACCAAGTGTTGCCTGGAAGTACTTTGCTGTTGCACTTCACATGCCATGCCAGCATTAAGGACTTACCAGCCTTTCTGCATTCTCAACAGCACCTGCCACTTCCCCCAAACAGGTATTCTCACAATCTCAACTGCACAATCTTTCTGCATTCTCAACAGCACCTGCCACTTCCCCCAAACAGGTATTCTCACAATCTCAACTGCACAATCTATAAATTACATATTCACTGTCTGTATAT